AGATACAATCTGTCGCTCTGTCTTACTTTCAATTTGAAGAAAGCCTTCGATTCAATGGAAACAGAAGCGGTTTTAGAGGCTCTGGAAAACCAATGAGTCCCTGCTCGATATATGACGATCCTTCGTGAGCTATATGAAAACTCACAACCAAGATATCTTCATTCTACAACAATATCACCATTGACGTAAGAAGAGGGGTTCGATAAGGTGATACGATTTCGCCAAAATTATTCACTGCTACTCACCAAAACATCATGCGAACTTTAGAATGGGACGACATGGGAATGAGGATTGACGATCAGCAATTAAACCACCTTCGCTCTACTGACGATATCGCTCTCATAACACCAAACATCAAACAAGCGGAACGAATGTTGACGACAATGCGTGTGGAAAGATTAGCGTTCTACTAAATTCAACTAACACGATGTTCATGAGGAACGGATGGGTTTTGCATTCCCCTGTTACGCTCAACGAAACGAACGTCCCCGAATGCTCCAGTTACGTCTATCTAGGTCGTGAAGTCAACATGATGAAGGACCTAGCTCCAGAGTTGAGAAGGGAAAACGAGCGGCTTGGGGAACGTTTACGAGCATCAAAGATGTAGTGAAGAGGACAAAGAACATCTGACTCCGTGGCCACCTTTTCGACTCGACAATTATCCCTGTCCTAACGTATGCAGCAGAAACCTGGTAGCTACGTATGCAGGATGAAAGCTCAGTTGGCGTTATTGAATGCGTAGTCAAGGCCGATGCTAGGGGTATCCCGTATCTCGCTAATGAGAGAAAGGATCCGAAGTCGACCAACTTAGCAACGGTCGGAGGACAATGACGCCGTTCTACACACCAGGATATCGAAAATAAGCTGGGCCGGACACGTGATGCGCTTCAACGACAACCGATGGACGAGAGCCATTACCGAGTAGATTCCCCGGGTCACAGCGCTTTACAGGAAGACCACCGACCCAATAGTCCAATTTCTTTACGAAAAGTCTAGAAGAAAGAAATGATGCTCAACGAATCCCTAGAGCGAGGACTCACTGGGCTACTCTTGCACGCGATAGGGAAAAATGGAAGTGTTGTTGGTGCCTGCTCGAATCACTCGACGACTAACGGGACGATAGGTGATAAAGGTGATGGAGTAGCAGCAGCGCCGTGGCCCAATGGTTATCGTGCTCGTCGCGGCGCGCCTGGAAGTGAACTCGGCCCCCAAGGCTCTCCGCCCAGTCAAAAACCAGCTCAGTACGGAACGCCACTGCCAGGTTATTCTCGAGATTGCAATGAAACTTGTTCAGCCAGTATTACAAAGGCGTTAAGTAAAAAAGACGAAAAAACATATTGAATGCTAGAAATGCTAGGACCAACAGTAAGAAAAACAACTGTTAAGACGAATAACAAAGTCTCTAAATTGAAAAAGTGCTAGTAGTACGAATAGGCTCTTGGGAAGGCGAATTCAGAGTCACCCATCGTCTTTAACTCTTTGGGGACGACGTGCTTTGTGAATAATGGCTGACATCACTGGATCTTATGCTACCGACTGATTGCTATTAGTATAAAGAAAGAGCTTTGTCCTACAATAAAAACACGTATGTAAAACACAAATGTTTTCTTTTCGTCAAGGCTTTACAGAAGAGTCTTATCATAAACTAGGCACGTGTGGCGCTAGCTATAGATTTCGGCTTTTCAATGGTTACTAATACTTTTATGAAAAGTTCTTGCTCAACCAATAAGATCGATTATCTATTTGTCGTTGTCTAACATATAACAACACAGTTTACCGCTCCTGAGTGATGGATCTTGGTGAGACTAAGCGCGAGATCGAACCATCAACCTTGTGAGAGACTTGTACGAGCAGGGCACTCCTGACCACTACTCTACATGCGCTTCATATGAGAGACATCAAATAAGGTAACTGAAAACGAATAGGAACCCGCTTTTGATGTTCAACGAGGGCCGATGAAGAGGACTCTCAGTGAATGAAGCTATGATGGAAATCTGGTGGCGTTAGACTAGATACGGGAGTACTTGGATAACGTTTATCGCTTGGTACATTTGAATAAACGTTGTTCAATGTGTATATCACGTTTGGTCATGTATATATATATATATATATATATATATATACGTACATATACGCACATACATAGATATGCGTGCATATATGTATATATATATATATATATACATATTTATATATATATATAAAGATAAGCCTACATGTATACTTGTGCATATACACATAAATGCGTATTCAAAGACCACTTATTGTAGATGGGAACAGCAAAGTCTATGTGGAAACTCTAATTGTATCCATAGGGGTGTGGACGACCTAAGGATCACGACACAAATTTTTTTTGAAGGGACAAGAAGAGAGAGGAAAACTGAAATCGAAGCCATTCAAGGCTGCTTATGATCAAAGCGGATTGAGGTAACGATCTGTACCTGAGAAGCACGTGTACCTAGATACGAGCCTCTGTAAAAGATTTGATGATGTAGACAAGAAGGATAAGTCACTTCATGAATGCACAAGATGAGACGAAAAAATGTTGCTCATTTCAGCAGTCGATAACCGCTGAGCTCTTCCATGGAACATGAGACAGTAGAGGAGTGTCACTGATGTTTAAGCTCACATCTCACAACAAATTCATATGCCATGGATCAATACCGCCCTAGATCATATTCAACGGTCAAGCCAACATCAAGCTAAAGAGAAAACATAATTGAAGCCTCCCATTTGAACTTAACCGTTTGAGTTGCGACGACGAAACCTGGGTGTGTCCAACAGGCAAGTGCGCTCACTACCAGCGTGGGAACGGCTCCACCTCCCCTAACCACGCTGCACCCGCCTACCGGGAAGAAGGTTGCTGGTTCGATTCCCTACCACAACGCTTCACTGTAGTTTTCGTACTGTCTGTTTGTTTTCACTACAATATGCTCAGATCACTGACAGTCCAAACCCACTCCAATTATCGTTCCAATTATCTGATATTTTAATACTGTAACACAAACGATCAAAGTATATAAATTATTTATCACCATTTGTTACGTAGTATGTAAATATATTATGCTGTTATATGATGATTAACTACATACATTGATCGTTTGTATTATAGCGTTATAATATGAGATATGGTGTGTCACCGATTTGAGAATATTGTAATGAAAACCAAAAGCTGATACCAAAAAGAATACAGTGAAGTGTTGTGATAGGGGATTGAACCAGCATCCGTCCTCCAGATGCATGGATGCCGAGTGGCAGAGAGGAGGTTGAGCAAATCCCACGCTGGGGGTGAGATCACTTTCTAGTTAGACATCCCCAGGTAAGGTGCTCGGAAGTCAAATGCTCAAAACGTTTGAAAAAAAGTACATACTGATTCAGAACACTGTTTCTATACATCTCAGCCTTGATTATTTGCACATACGCACATAACACATACATGTTTATGCATGTACACATGGACGAATATACACGCACACATATATGTGCATATATACACACGTGTATTTGCGCATATATACGTGTGTACACACTAACATGTGTAAATGTATATGTACACACAAGTGTACATATATATATATATATATACACATATATATATATATATATATGTACAAGCACATATGCATATATATATATATATATACATTTAAAGCATCTCTTTTGGCAGGAACGAATATTGTCATAGTCGCAATAGTACCAGTTCGATAACTGACCCTGACTTGACCTCTTCAGAGTCTGGAGCTACATTGTATTTCATTACTTGGAAGATTTTGTGAATCATCGGTGCTCCTTGATACCGCTTAGGTGATGGCAAAGGATCAAACGGTGGCGCCATGTTACGCGTGCTTGTGACGAGTCGTCCATCCTGTTCATCCTGGATTTACAACGTTTATCCAAAACCCTCGAAGAGTTTTAAGCGTCGATTCTTTCAACTCTTGGGCGAAGACCGTGGCAGTTAATTCAAAATCATTATCGTTGAGCTTTTATGCCCTGTGTATACGTATAAGTGTACTTTCTCGAATTTCAAACCATCATCTAAATGCTCTTTTATGCCGACACAAAGTGACAGAGCAGTTTCACTAATGTGTTCATGGGAACAGCGAAACACAGACGGGCGGCCATAAGGTAAGAAGATCAGACAAGAGATAGACAAAACGAAGTGTACAGTGGATTTCACGAGAATAACCCGTCCATCAGATCGGCCACCGACCTATCTACACGTTGGCAGACGTGTTTATTAGAAAAATTAATCAGCTTTACTGTTTGCACCTGCCAATATTTCACAGGTCACGCTCTGAAACTCCCGCCAGTCGTGAAGCTCGAATCAAACCACCACCACGGACGACAGTCGCGAGAAAAAGAGAATGGAAAGTGGAAATTACAGTAGAAATTGTGCTGCGATTCGCACTAATTGTGAAGATGGACCATTCAAGCATCCAAATGTGTTTATTCCCTCATACCTTACATGACATTAACTATATTGTGCGCAAACTCATACAAATCCTCTCTATTTTTTCTCAAAGAGTAAGTTATACAACTTTCTCAGTTACACAAACGATCACAGAAGGAGCTGTGGATCAGTTAACGACGCAGAGGTTTAGGTATCAGTACAATAACTGTCACAGATATCCCTAAGACAATTGAGTGGTGAGCAAAAATACGACCTCGGACGGGAGTCAAACCCGCGTTTCATCTATACCGGAACGCGTGCTACCACTACACCACCAAGGCACATATGCACCACCACTCATTCTTCAACATCTTTTTAATAGTTCTCAGCCATTAACCCATGACAGGCTTGGTCGGGTATGCGATACCGCTTTATAAAACTGGTGAAAAATGCAGTAAAAATACTAGAAATTTCGAGTATTAAATATTACTATGGCTGTCAGCTCAACTGGGATTATAAAGCGAAATCGCATACCCGACCAAACCTGTTAAAGGTTGGTGGCTGACAGCTATCATAGAGATGTTGAAGAATGAGTGATGGCGCAAGTATAGCTCGGTGGTATAGTGGTAGCACGCGTTCCCAGTATGGATGAAACACGGGTTCAACTCCCATCTGAGGTCGCATTTTTGCTCACCATTCATTTTCTTAACGATATATGAAACAATAGAACACTGCGAAAGATCAGCAAAAGTACTAAATATTTTGAATATTTTTTGAGACTCCTCTCATGAGCGCTACCAACTTCTTTACGATGTAATGACTGTAATGACAGACTGGAAAGGATCTCATCAATCATTAATGCTTTGAAGTCGTATTCAACCCTTTCAGCTTATCAAGAACTGCTAGAAATATTGCACAAGAGACGAAAAGAGAAAAGAATCGCTGAACTTTGCACGAATAATAGCCATATTGAGCGATTACACCTCTGGCCATGGCCACAGTACATGGTCCCAATGGAGTCAGATGAATTAGTAGGGTCACGTCCCAAAACAAAACAAAACAAAAACCTCGCACTTGATAAGGTCGCTTTCAGGCTGCTTTTCAGATCAAGTAAGGCCAGCTGGGCTATTTAGATGCCACCCAAAAAGAAGTGGTCTTGAAAGTTCGGTGACAGTACTCGAACTTCCACCCACACCCTACGCCGTCAACTAGCGCGCAATCGCCTTTACGATCGACTGCGCCACTCAGAAGACCGTATAATCTGCCCTAACGAAAGGGAGGGGAATTGTTTGAGTTCTGATACAGTACATATAATAACATGAAGGGTATGTAGATATGTATATATTGGTAAAACGAATGGATTATTTCATTTTTGCTTAAAAAAACATGTAGACAGGAGGTCAAAAATCAATGAAAACACTCCATGTCGTCTGCAACGCAAAAAATCTCTTGATGTAGCAACACAGCGAAGAAAACGTTTCTTTGAAAACCGACAATCCGGAGCTGTAGCTTGGAGCTGGAGCTCAGCTTTTGAATGGTTGCTAACACTGCTCTGATAAGTTTTTCTCCAGTGATGAGTTCCATTTTTCAATAGTCCATCTTATCACAGAGGTGAAAAACATCAACGCGAAAAACTCTCGAAGCGTCTTGGATAAATGCAAAGAAAAAACCCGAAAATGAACCGAAAGGACGAATGTGTCTCTGCAACACAAGACTTGGCACATTACGTGCGCCTAATCTTCTACTTTGATTCAGCGGGAGGTGATGCATCGTTTTTGCCACCGACTCAGACGAATACAATGTACGTCCAGGACGTGTGGAAGGAGGTGTCGTCGAAACTACCCACGATTTGTACTGCGATGTATACCAACTCAACATTGACGTTAATATTAACGTCAACAACATCTCGAGCCTGCTCAAACAGTTTAGTAATTGATACTCATATTATTGACTTGAAGCCGAGGTTAGCGAAACGCCGATCTTTCAAATACAATCGACCCTTAGAATCTGAAGAAGGCGGAGTCCTCCAAACGCTGGCCATCATAGCACCATTACTACGACTGCTACTACAACAACTATTACCAACCTTGCGTCAGTCACAGTCTTTAAGATTTACAAAACTCACCCTAACGGCTTTTGAAAAATCTTCAGGATTTTCGGAGTGATTCGCAGGAAAATCGAAATGATTCGCAAGACCTGAAAGAAATAAGATAGGATAGCGTCAAGACCGAACACACAAACACAATCATTTGAACTCGGATTATCCTATTCCGCTTGTTGCCAGTTTTGCCTTATGGAAACTGGCTGGCAAAGGCAATAGGAGCCCCGACCCGACTAGCAACATAAGAACTGCGTCCGAGGACATCGACAAAGAGACAACCAAAACAAGGACACAAACAAAAACAGCTCGCATTCCTGAGAACTATCCAGATCGCGATTATCTCTAGGAAACTCCTCGAAGACGGTTTGATCTCTCGTAATATGCGAATGAAGCCAAAATAATCAATTTTTCGATGAGGAAGAGAAAAAAATATAGATACAAATACAGAAACAACATCTGGCCGATAATGAGGAAAGTGGTGGTGCGCAAATTTGAGCAATGGCAAACCCCGCGCACTTCGCTTGAAGGGGACGATCTCTCAGGATTATCGCTGTAGCGCAGTTGCTTTCCTGCTGTTCACTGACTATCGAGCTAACGTTGTAGGACGAGCAGATAGCATAGATGAACGGAAAACTTGATATAAGAACAATGGAAGGAGTGTGGAAAGACCGAATTTCTATAACTCCAACGTGAACAATAGTACCTCGCAATCTTAACCTATTTTAGCTCGTGCGAGAAAGGTTCACTTTTTCCTTGAGTGGTCGTGCTCTGACCCGCCCTCGGACAGGCTAAAATGCGGGTTCGAGTCGCGCCGACGCTAAAGTTTTATAAATCACACTTCATCATATGGTATATACTTAACACCGAACCAGAAGCTAAAAGTGGTTCAATAATGAAATATCTGTCTTTCCATTCACTTCGAATTCTTGAAATATATCCAGGCACTCGGAGGACTTGGACAGTGGTGACAAATTCCAGTTCACAGATAGTCGCAATCCTTGCGTAGCAATCAAAAACAAAAAGCGGTTAAGTTCTCGAGATTCTTGGATGGATTTCGAAAATTAAGAGACGAATAGAAACCAAGAGTGCGTGGTTGCCAAGCGTGATATGAAGGCGCATCAACTTAGATGATTTTTTGGTCCGAATGGGTCCTTTGCTAAAAAATTGTGAACAGCCTATGGTGACCTTACTCGAACCAGGAAGTTCAACGATGGGTTTTTCTGGTAGACACTCTTTTGAAGATTTTTCAAATCAAATCCGTATTGGCATTTTGAAATACTAACCGAATAATAGAGCTTAGTATAACATCGTCGCTCCCTTCGCGCAATGTTCCGTCAGTCGCGGAAAGCAGAGAAGGCCGCTAAAGTCAAACTACGAAGTCCCAAAACTACCACAAACTGATATGTATTCGAATCATTAGTCGGCTATTGGGAAAATACCGTCATCGACGACACCGACGAAGAATACGACCGGCTCGTTGATTATTTTCACGTTGGCGCTATGAAAGCCAAAAGTTCTAAAGTCACGAAGAGACATTTGTCTCTGCAGACACTCGAGCTCATACGTCAACGTGGAATCGCACGAGTTGAGGGCAACCGAAATCTTATGGCAGAACTTACGAAACGCTACAGAGAAGCGGTATAAGAAGGCCTCAAAGAGAGACAAGCAGCGTTATGGCAAAGGCTACAGAGGTAGAAAAAGCATTCACAAAGCCCAGACAGGCTTCGCCAATCTTAAGACCAAGATGTCTGCATTCCGATGCCCTGACGGGACACTTACAGCTTCCAGAAGGGCAATGGGGAAATCATCCACCAATGCTACTTGGATCTCTTCGTTACCCATGTCCTCTTACCGTCATATAAATTGAAAGAGGACGAATCTGTCGTTCCACCGGTCCTCTCTTCCGAAATCCAACACGGTACATCGTTGGTGAAGAACAGAACAACACCTGGTCCACATGGGACTAGACCAGAAGTTTTGAAGAACCTCCAGCTCTCATCAACAGCCTGGCTCGGCTCTTCACTCGCCACATGTCAGAATGCAAGGTTCTCATTCAATGGAAAACCAGCAAAACCGTGTTGTTGTACAAAAAGGAAGACCTTTCTAACATAGGCAATTATCGCCCAATCTGCTTGTTGTCCATCATCTATGAACTCTTCACTCAGTTCATTCTAAGCAGGATCGACGTAACACTGGACGAAAGCCAGCCATGCGAACAAGCAGGGTTCCGAAAAGGAATTAGTACCATTAGACCACATCCACACGATCACAAGACTCATCGAAGTTGTACGAGACGCAAACAACCACTCTGTCTCACTTTCACCTCTGAAGAAAGCCTTTGATTCAGAGGAAACACAAGCGGTTACAGAGGCTCTGGATAACCAGGGAGTCCATATTCG